AAGCATTATGCTGAGTAAAAGACATCAATTTCAAAACGTTATGTACTATATAGTTCTATTTATATGACATTCTGGTAAAGGCAAAATTATAGAGATGGTGAACAGATCAGTAGTTACCAGAGGTTAGGGAAGTCATGAATACAAAGGGAGGTTTAGGGGGTCAAAGTAATATTGTGTATTCTGATTTTGTGATGGCTACACAAATCTAAATGTGCATACCAGAAAAAAAAGTCCATTTTATATCATGTTAATTTAAAAAGTGAAATTTAAAAAAAATTATCAAAAGGGAAGACAGACTGAAAATAAAGAACTAGAGCTTTCAACTCTAGATGTAGGAAAACCAAAATCAAAACCAAATGCACTGCCATCGAGTTGATTCCTACTCATAGCGACCCCCATTGGGCTTCCAAGGCTGTAAATCTTTATGGAAGAAGATTGCCTCATCTTCCTTCTGTGGAGCAGGTGGTGGGTTTAATGCACTGACCTTCTGGTTAGCAGTGAAATGCCTTAAACACTACACTACCAGAATTCATTTGATATAGGACAAAAAGCATTAAAAAGGAAAACAAAAGTTAAGAAAACAGAAAATAGTGAAAAATAAATTAAGAAAATAGTTAAAAAAAAATTAGCCAATGACCAGTAAAACTAAGAACTGATTCTTGAAAAGAGTAGTAATACAATAAAATAGACAAATTGTTTTTATACACCATGACCAAGTACAGGTAATACCAAGAAGGAAATGAAATTCAAAATTAGTAATTGTATTAATGCAAATCACCATTATCAACAAATTAACAGAGAAAAACTATGGCAATCATAAGTTCCCAGAAGACCATTTGCCAGAAAACCAGTAACACTCCTGATTTTATAACAAATAAAAAACACTTTAATCTAGAGACAGAACTTCCCTGATTTAGGAAGTAGTCTATCAGAGACCACAGGAAGAATCATATTGAGTGAAGAATACTGCCATCATTCCCTTTAAAATATAAAATAGCACAAGGATGCTCCTTATCACCACTATTTCTTAACACTGTAATAAAACTAGAAAAAGCAAGAGGCATGAATATTGGAAGAAAGAGAATGAACTCACTCATGATAATTAACTAAAAAACTAATTGAACTAATAAGGCAATCCAATAAAGGATTCAACATGGAAAAATCAATTGTTTTTCTTTGTACTAGAAATAACCAATCAGAAAATGTAATAGATGAAAGACTGCCATTTTCAATAGGTACTAAATAATAAAATTAAACAGTCAGGAATAAATTAAAGAAGAAATATAACAAGATATACAAAAAAGATCTGAATAAAGAGAGACCATGTGTGAAGGTATAAAGACAGGATAGCCTGTTCTATGACTATTCACACCTAACAGGTAAATAGGGGAATGATGAAATTGAACTGGCTCAAATTAGTATTTCATGGAATTCTATTTTGAACCACTTTCTCACAATTATAGAGAAAGCCTTAGTAATGTATGAAGACCTTCAGACAAAAACTAAAAATCCTGCAGTACTGCTGTCTATTAGAGAAAGAACAAATGATGGCTCTCTTTTCTATAAAATTAAGCTCTGACAGGAGAGAAAGGCATCCTCGTGGTGCAATGGTTAAAGCACTCATCTGCTAACCAAAAGGTTGGTGGTTCAAACTCATTAGCCAGTCCATGGGAGAAAGATGTGGCAGTCTGCTTCCACAAAGACTTACAGTCTTAGAAACCCTATGAGACAGTTGTACTCTGGCCAATAAGGTCGCTATGAATTGGAATTGACTCAACCGCAATGGGTTGGGGCTGGGAGAGGCAGCCATCTGAGAGAGCAAAAGAAGTTAGCTGTCAAGATATGTCCACCTGTGTTTTTTTTTTTTTTTTTAATGATGAAGAGGACCAGGCCCTGATTCAGGTTTCAATTTAATGAAGCTGGTATCTATTTTAAGCAAATGCCCTCAAGGACATACATCTGGAAGTAGGAAGCCTAAGTCCCAGGATTTAAGGCTACAAAGGGTCTAGTGACTGTGATGCTGGGTGCAAATGCCAATGGACTTTAACTAGGCAAGGATTAATATTAGAACTGTCATTATTTAGGTCAGTGGTTCTGCTTCAAAGGCTATCCTATACTTTCCAGAGATAAGTGCTCTTAATAATTTGGTGTAATAAATATACAACAAATAATAGCCCCTAAAGAGTAAAGTAAACCTCCTTTTCTTGTAAGCACTATTATTTTTAGTATGTACATTTGCAGAACATGAGGTTTTCCAGGAATGCATACATCCCATTATATCAGGGCTCTTATTAAAAGATTTCAGTCTCCACAAATTAATCTACAAATGCCATGCAAACCTAATAAAAAAAATCCTAATAGGATTTTTTTTCCTGAAATGTGACAAGCTGATTCTAAAATTTATCCGGAAGAGTAAAAGCTAAACGATAGCCTAGAAAATCTGGGAAAGTAAGAACAAATAGGTTGACAGGTCTCTTCCTTTCCAGTGTTGCTGGGCAAAGGAGGGAGAGGAAGAGGAAAGCAGAAGCTGAGTGAGCTGTTTATTTTGAGGGAACTGGTTAAACCAGGTACAGATGTCTTGGCTATAGGTGGATGTGATGGCTATGGAAGGTGGGGTGGTTGTCAGGGGAGCTTGGAAGGCCCCTAAGGACCAATCACAGACTAACCCAGAAATGATGGGTTTGCTGAGTGGGCAGCATTCTTCTGAAGTCCAAAGCAAGTGCTGCAGAGGGTATTCGTCCTTCCTCAAACAAAGCCTATAGTAACTCATCTACATTGTATTGTCACAGGAACAGACAAATTGATTTTACACAACAGAATAATATTAACAATATATAACAAATAGCATCTGCCACATGCAGGGCAGAATTCTAAGTGCTTTACATATATTAAATCATTTAATCTTTGCAACAACCATAAGGTAGGTACAATTATCACAGAAAGGCAAAGAGAGTTTAGCTACTAAGGAACAGAACTGGGAAAAGAGTAGAAAAGTCCACATAAATATATGGGAATTTAGTTTATGACAAAGGTGGAACCTCAAATCAGGTGAATAACGATAAATGAACTAGTTAATAAATAGTATTTGTGTAAATGACTATTCATATGGGTAAAAAATAAAGTTAGATTCTTACCTCTCACAAGTCATAAAACTTAGTTTCAGATAAAGAGCTAAAATTTTAAATTATGTACAGGCTTTCAGTGAAAATATATATAGGCATGTTTAAAGAAAACATATAAAGATGATTATGTAAAAACTGAAGTCTTCTACATGTGAAAAGATATCACAAATAAAATACAAGCAACAGACTAACAAAAATTATTTAACATATCTATAATTAAAAAAAAAAAAAAACCCACTGCAACAAATCTGGAATATATACAGAACTCCTACAAATCAATTAGAAAAACAAACATCCCAAAAGAAAAATGAACAAAGATTGAATGGGTAAGTGACAGAAAAGGAATAAACAATAGTCGATAAACATAAAAAACAAAATTGAGACACCATTTTTTGCCCATCGGATTGGCAAAAACTAAAAAGGCTGATAATATCATTGCTGGTAAGGGTATAAGGAAACAAGTTTTGGAGGGTAGTTTGACATTATCTATTAACATTTATCTTGTACATATCCTTCAATTCAGCAAGTCTGTCTACAATAGATAAATACTAATTGGCACACAAAGGGTTATTTACAAGAATTTTTACTGTAGCATTATTAGTAACAGTGAAAAATTAGAAACAACCTAAATGTCTGGTGGTGTAGGGCCTAAGGCATTTGAGTGCTAACTAGAAGGCTGGTGTTACCCATCAGCCACTCCTCTACTTTCATAGAGATACCACCTTGAAAACCCAAGGAGGGATCACTATGAGTCAGAACGAACTCAACGGCAGTGATTTTGATTTTATTTATTTATTTTTTTGGGGGAGGGAATGGTCAGATATATGACGGTATGCTCTGGTGGCATAGTGCCTAAGGCATTTGACTGCTAACCAGAAGGCTGGTAGTTCAAACCCACCAGTCACTCCTCAGAAGGAAGACTGAGCAATCTACTTCCATAGTGATATCACCTCAGAAACACAAGGAGGGGTCACTATGAGTTGGATCTGACTTGACGACAGTGAGTTTGGTTTTTTTTGATGGTACATCTATGCTATAGGATACTATATAGCAGGTAGATCTAGGTACTGATGCCGAAAGATATCCTAACAAGTTATAAAACCATAAACACTAAACATAACTCTCTCTGTGTGTATAAACACAATGAATGAAAATCAAAAGTATACCTCAAATTTATAATAAAGATTACCTTTGGGCTCACAGGTGGAAGGGTATAATATGTCAAAGGAAATTTTTGCTTTCTCTGTCTTGTTCTAACTTTGGTCAATGAGCATTTATCCATGTGCACAATTTTTGAAACAAAACCCACATTAAAGTCATCTGCACTATACAATACAGTGCTATATACATCGTCAGTACTCAATAAATCTTAGCTTAGAAAAAGAAGTTATCTCTTAAGTAAAATCCACTGAAAGGACATTATAAACCTTCACAAGGAATGGGCTGGCTGACACAGAACATAAATGATACTGGTAATGAAGGTAAAACAACCAAGAAGGAAGAAAGAGCCACCAGTAGTGAAGGCTGGGCAATGCTAAAAATACATGATAGCTAATTATAATAGCTACCATTTCTTGAGGGCATCCAATGAGCAAGGGACTGTGCCAGGTGTTCTGCAAGCATCATCTCTAATTCTGGTATCAACTTGTGAAATATCCCCATTTTACAGATTAAGAAAATATAAATTAAATGTTTTGCCATCTATTTTTCACTATGATTTTTAAAAAAAAAAGAAAGAAAATATACGTCAGAGAAACTAAGTATCAGACTTAAGGCCAGGCCTTTGACTCACTATAGTCTAGATTCTCTTGGGGTTTGGAACTGAAACTGGGACTGGGGGGCCCTCTTGGCCTTGACCAAAGGCCCAACTGCCCTTACTATACTCTGCATCCTTGAAGCATGCTCCCAAGCTGTCCTGTTCATCCAGACTGGCATTCTCCTCCTCCTCCTCACTCTCGGTTCTCCAATATGGTGGCCGCTTGATGGGTCGTTTCCCTGGGGTGCGCTGGAAAGCAGGACTGTTAGACACTGTGCCTAGCCCGCTGCTGGAGCTCCCGCTGCTTCGGTCCTGTCCCCCGGTCCACCAGGCCTGCAGACTGGAGGTAGCTGGTGAGGACGATGAGGACTGTAGGTTGGCCATGCACAGCATGCCCTGGATGGCCTCCTGAGTGCTGGGTGAGGCAGGAGCCTCACTGCAAGGGAGAAAGGAGAAACGCTGAGGGAGTTACTCTAGTTGATGAAAGAAACCAATCATCAGAATAGTCAGGGAAGAGAGACAGACTGGGGTCAGGGTGGGAGAAAGAAGGGGATAAGCATCCAAGGTAAAAAACCAGAAATCAAGCTAAAGGATCAAGACTGTATCAAAGATTGTTTTCATAAAAAAGCCAGTTCTTCTTGCCTTGAGCCTCCATAGAAAGCAGACAAGATGGCAAAAAGAAAGGTTCTGAGTACCTTGTTCACCTATGCTGCATACTTTCCTTTTTCAATCACTCAGAAAAGGCCCACTTCTCCTTCCATGACTCTTCCAGCCCCTCATCCAACTTACAAAGTACCCTAAATTCCCCCCAAAGTACACAAGTTGTAAGAAATGTATAGATTCTAACAATGTCAAATCTTCAGCTCCTCAGGACAGACTTCATATCTACCTTATACTTTCAGTCCAAATATCCTGGATAATTCTTTGTTAATTTAAATGGTTGACTGACTGACCTAGCCCCTGAAGGATAGGGTTTGCTTTCTGACGGCCCAGAGAGGGGAGTTCAAAGCCAGTACTCACGTGAGAGCAGCATAGTCAGGTCCCCCCACCTGCCTGCTGGCTTTGAGCAGATCAAGAATTCCACCAGCTCCCGTCCCATTCCCAAGCTTGCCTTCAACCCCTTCCACCATGTCCTCATCTGTTGTATAGTCCTCCTGTTGAAGAGAGAGGATATCACCTCAATTGCCCAAGGCTGGTCTGGTCTGTCACCAATACATGGTTGACAGCCTCATTTGTGATACTAATAGCTTCTGAGGATCAAGTAGATAGACTCAGTATGTAAAGATTCATTTTTCTTTTACCTTTTCTTTTACTCTATAGCCCCTAGCCACCCTTCAGGTCTGGAACTAAACTCACTCCTGTGGCTTCCAGCCAAACAACACACAGGCATATGGGGTGAACATTTACATCAGGTAGATACACTACTTGGTATGATCAATCGTGGGAAAACAGGTTAGTGTTTGCACAGGGAGACAGCTCTGGGGATAGGAAAGCATGGGACAGAAGGACACAGGGAAGAGATAACTACAGGGAGAAAGTGGGAAGAGAGCTGTTACATTGTGGGGAATTGCAGTCAATGGCATGAAACAAAATGGGTATGAAATGCTGTATGGAAAATGGAAAATGAATTTGCTCTGTAAACATTCACCCAAATCACAATAAAAATTTAAAAAATAAGTAAAAATAAAACAAAACAAAAATCATTTGTGTTAGGTAAAACAGCTCTAAAACTAATACACGTTTTGCTACATTATACTTCCTTTTATTCTACTCTATATTAAATTATTTTTAAGATATTTCCATTAAATTATAATATTCCATTCTATGCATAGCGGCATTCAGGACAGTCATTTGCTTAATAAATATTTTAGAAACTGAATGCACAGAATGCCTTCTTTTCATCTATCTCTGTGATGAGAATGAGCACAAGGCTAGATATAAGATAGGCTTTTACCTCAATGTCAAAGTCAACTTCTCCTGGTTCACGAACTCGGTTGGGGTCAGAGCAAGGTTTTGCACGGGGTAACTTCCGAGGAAATTCTAAGAAAACAACAGAATGCCCTTGTTATGAAGCTAAGATTAGCACCTGAGCCAAACATCCAGGGGAAAGAAAAACCTTTTTCCTAGAAGTAAAGACCATAGATGACTTATTTTTGAAGTTTAGGGATAAGCTTATAAATAATTCTCTAAAATAAGGACAGAGTAGAACTGCTCCATAGGGTTTCCAAGGCTGTAAATCTTTATGGAATCAGACTGCTTCACCTTTCTCCTGCGGAGCCCCTGGTAGGTTCAAACCACTGACCTTTGGGTTAGCAGCCCCAAGCTTTACAACAATGCTACCAGAGCTTCTTAACAGAGGCCTATCTCAACTCTCTCACTGCCTTCCAGTCGATTCCAACTCATAATGACCCCTTCCATCGGTTTCTGAGGCAGTACCACTATGGAAGTAGATTCCAAAAAAAACACCTCACTGCTGTCAAGTCAATTCAATTTGACTCATAGCAACCCATCCTTGGGTTTCCAAGGCGGTATCTCTATGGAAGTAGATGGCCCAATCTTTCTTCCAAGGAGTGGCTAGTGGGATTGAGCTGCCAGCCTTCTGGTTAGCAGTCAAATGCCTTAGGCACTATGCCACCAGAGCTCCCATGGAAGTACATTGTTGTTGTTGTTGTTATGTGCCGCTGAGTCGAACCCAACTCATAGCGACCCCTCCTTGGGTTTCTGAGGCAGTCAGTATCATTACGGAAGTAGATTGCCCCATCTTCCTTCCGAGGAGTGGCTGGTGGGTTTGAACCGCCAGCCTTCTGGTTAGCAGTCAAGTGCCTTAGCCACTATGCTATCAGAGCTCCCTGGAAGTAGATTGTTGTTGTTGTTGTTATGTGCCGTCGAGTCAAACCCGACTCATAGCGACCCCTCCTTGGGTTTCCGAGGCAGTATCACTACGGAAGTAGGATTGCCCAACCTTCCTTCCGAGGAGTGGCTGGTGGGTTAGAACCTGGTAAATCAGGTATCAACAAGGTCAGGCTGAACATCTTGAGAGTGACAAAGGAGCCAGAAACAAAGGTAAAGTGTTCAGGGAAGAGGAGGAAGAGACACACTTGGTCTTATTATCAGGGTCGTCTTCTCCTTTCCCAGTCTCTCATCAATCTGCAGTTCATCTTCTGAATCCAAGTCAAATTCTTCCTCCATCACCTGTTCCGTCACTAGTCTACCTTTGTCTGTTTTCTTTGCAATCTTAGCTCGCCGAGATCTGGATAAGCTTTTCACCCGCTTGGTACTGGGGAGAGAAGGAAGAACATAAAAGCAAACAGTCACACTCAATATTGTTAAGATGAGAATTCTCCCCAAACTGACTTAAGAGTCAATGCAATTACTATTAATATCTACCCACCTTTTGGGTAGATATTGATAAGTTGAATCTAAAAGGCACATGTACCTGCAAAAGACCTAATCCTAGCCAAAACAATTTTGAAAAAGAACAAAGTTGGATGGCTTACAGTACCTAATTTAAAAACTTACTATAAACCTACAGTTACCAAGGCAGTGTGATACTGGCATAAAGATATACAGATTAATTAATATAGAACTGTGAGTCCAGAAATAAATCTTATGATCAACTGATTTTTGACAAAATGTCAAAGCAACTCAGTGGGGAACGAGTGGTTCTTGCAACAAATGGTACTAAAACAACTGGATATCAACATGCAAAGAAATTAATATAGACCTTTACTTCATACCATACTAAAAAAATTAACTTAAATTGGATCATAGATATAAATATAAAAGCTGAAAATATAAAACTTCTAGAAGAAAATTCTTGTAACCTGGGATTAGATAAAATTTATAACTTTTGTGCTTCACCAATAAGAAAATGAAAAGACAAGCCACAAACTGGGAGAATGTATTTGCAGATCATATATCTTGTTAAAGACTTGCATTCAAGTAAGATCTTACTGAAGATAATTCAGAAACGTTTGCAGCAGTATACTGACAGAGAACTTCCAGAGGTTCAAGCCAGATTCAGAAGAGGACGTGGAACAAGGGATATCATAGCTGTTGTCAGATGGATCTTGGCTCAAGGCAAAGA